TCGTACCCTTCAAAAGAAATGGAGTACGTTGATTACCGATTTCTCTGTGGTTCAGCTCTAAAATTACACGTCTGTAATAATCCAATAAGACCAACGCTAAGCACCAGACCATCCTTGTCAAGGATGTTGTTTTTTAGGAAAGCGAACGAGTGAAATTATATTCAGAGGTCAAATGTTTTAGTATTAGCATTTCCGTCAAGACTTCTCCTTCTTCACCTCGAGGATTTAGCTCATACTTGGTCCTTAATTTCTAAGCCATAAATTTAAGGATGTACTTTAATATCTCGCTTTTCGCTTAAAAAGTCTACATTGTAAGATGGAATAAGTGGCGAAGACAAACAACTATGCGGTTGCATCTCCTAATTGATGCATTTTTTGTGTACATTGAATTACCTTAACATTTTTACAATTTTCTCGTGAGGGCCGACTATTTCTTGTAGCTTTGATGATTGTACTGGCTCTCGAGTAAAGGAAAATGCTGCTATTCATGCTATCGCGTGGAACGGCCGTGAAGCTGCTGAAATGGGTTTGTTTTGAAGTCAGTCACAATGAATAAATTCAGAGTGCTTTTCTACTCTTACACTGGTGAGATGCCCTGAGTTTGTCGACCTTTTTCTTGTTACTTTGGAACAGATTCTTCGAAATCAACAAATGATAAACATAAAGGAATTTTCTTGGTTTATGTGGAGCATGCTGTTTTCTAGGAACTCAGACACGAGATTAAAAGGTCATATATCGCCTAGTAAAAAGAACTTCGATTTCCATGAGTAATAATCACTATTCACAACAATTGCACAGCAAAAGAATTGTTAGTTCACAAGTATTTACAATTCGTTTCTCGTTAGAACTCAAACATCCGCAATGTATTGGCCTTATTGACCCTTATTGAAGGTGGCGTTGGTCTCTGTGGATCGTTGTATCTCTCCGGTGCTCGTCTGTGTTATTTCGGGTTATTGTTTAGGTACAAATATCACCTATACTGAGTATTAACAGGTTAGTAAATTAAAGTGCATTTTTTCTCAGTTTTACTCATAAACCGATAGCTTAAATAACGATATATTTGCTCAGCATCAAGGTGAACAGCAGCATTTTGTCTTTCTACTGAAAGATCTCCTCAGTGAGGTGCGTTGAGACGTTCTGTACGAGAGTTGAGAGATTATGTACGCATAGTTCATTTAACCGAATCCATTGGTATCATAACGAGCTTTTGTCTTGGCAAAAAGGAAACAATCGTAACTTTCCTTCACCTCACTTCGTCAAATGTCGTGGATCTCGCCATGAATCGGCAACTTGACGACGATGAATTCCATAAAATCAATTCTCCCATGTGCTCTCGCATATGGCATGTTCCCTCTGAAAATACTGAACAGACGAGATTCACGGTTAATTTTTTTTCTCATGTCATTGCATGCTTGATTCTTAGAAATTCCACTCAGATGTAGACAGCATAAAAGTATCAAATACTGTTACGTTTTAATTAAATACTTAACAGAAATACGTGTGGGAATTCTTTCATGTTGAAGCTTTGCAAAAATTAGAGTTAGTATATCTGATGTGCAAGTTGAAATTATTGTTGTCTTCATTCTTTAGGTATTATACCTTAGTTAAGCCACTTGAAGGGTTCACTAGTAAATTAAATGAGGACAGACTAAAGGAATGAAACAAATCTTTGATAAACATCAGAGATCGACTTGATTGAGAAGAATCTGTCTACAGGGAAGAATAAGCATGCGCCGGTTATTATATGTTTGTTTTTGTTTTGTATTTTACCTTTAAAGAGCTCTAAAGGACCTAAGTGTAAATGATTCATTGCGATTGGTAGATTAAGGATAAATAAGAATCCCAAATCAATTCAACTTGGTTCTTGCTTTTCACTTGTAAGTTTGAAGACGAGATAGTTCCCACGTCGAGGACAAACTAAGTAGTCACTTAGCATTAATGCCGTTGAATCGTTTAATTGTCGCAACCTTTGGGCACAATAACTTGCTTTAGAGTATAATCTCTTGTAAAAGGCCACAGTTCCCTTGAACATGGGAAATTTATAATCGAGTAAAGGAAAACACTTAGATCCATGCTACCTCGAGGAACGGCCGTGAAGTTGCTGAGATGGGTTTGGTTCAATGTGTTGCAGAAAAGACCTCAAAGTGCATTTCTACTCGTTCTAGTCTGATGGGATAATCTGAGTCTGTCAACCTTTTCCTGCAAATGGGAACCGATTTGATAAAGTGAACAAAAGATATTCATGAAACCTTTTTTAATTGTCTGGAGAAGACTATTTTCTGGAAATTTAATCATGTGATAAAAAGGTCCAAATAGACTGATATAAACACATTGTTCCACGATGAGTTTTCACTATTCACGACAATTGAACAACAATAGAACTGTTACTTCACAAATTTTTGCAGTTCGTTTCTCTTTAGAAGAACTTAACCCTCTATATTATATTGGTCTTTGTTGAAGGAGGAGTTAGTCTGCGGATCGCTCTTTCTCTTCGCTTCATCGTTCTTCTGTGTTATTTCGGGTTATTGGTTAATGAAAAATATCACGCTTAAACTGAGAATTGCCAAATCAGAAACTAGAGCACAGTTGTATTATTCATCCTGAATTGTTTGCTCTGCATCGCAGCCAACAACAATACATTTGGAGACGTTACCATTTTCAAATCCACTGAAAAATAAATCGTGAGCTTTGTTCTCGGCGAGAGGAAACATTATCAAGTCTCCTTCATTTCACTCGCTCGGTCTTCAAATCTTTTGATTGGAATTTCGCCGTGGACCATGGCAACTTGACGATGATCTGATGAATTCTTTGAAATTGATTCTTTTATGTGCTTTAGCATTTCACGTATGCTCGTATTTCCAGGAATTCTCACTGAAATGGCTGAGCCTGAGGAGCTTTTTGGTTTAGTTTTTTTAGCATTATCGCGTGCATCATACTCAGAAATTCCACTTAGATGTACATAGTATAAAAGTTGCAAATGATGCTACATATTGATTGCATGTTTCGAAAACTTTTTGCTATATAATACAGAACAAATGCATGAAAGAATTCTTTCCTGTTGAAGTTTCGTAAAATTATAAGTTAATTAATTCTAAGATGCAAGTCAAAATTGTTGTCTTCATTCTCATTGCATAACATCACTGTAATGTCCTTTGGAGGGTTCACTAGTCAGTGTAGTGAGGACAGACCAAATTTTAAAAAATGAAAAAAATCCAAGATAAACATTAGCGATGAAGATTTCTCTTAGTCTAATTCGAGAGATTCGGTTTACAGGAAAGGACCATGAAGCTTGCGCCGGATGTCGCATGTTTTCTTTTGTTTTTGTTTCATTTTGTCTTTTCTCGTTTAGTCTTCAACTTTTGAAGAGCTTTTGAGGGCTCAAGTGTTAAATTAAATAACGCGACTGATAGAGGAGGGACAATTGTGATCCTGCCATCAAGGTGGCTCGCAATTTACCATAAATATCACCGTATCGATCCGAAATCCACACATTTCACGTTTACCTTTAGTTTGCTATTAGTGGTATTGACTTGTTCAAACGCCAAAATAATATTTATCATGCATAGATTCTTGGTGAAAGGCCTTAATATGAGAGACACGCCGACAATCAATGGCGTCCAAACGACTAAGAGCTAATGCTGCTCTATTTTCATTTTCATTACCTAAAAATGCCACTTGACTTGAATCAGACACTCAGGCATTGAAATCCTTTATTTTGAAATACTAAGCAAAACCAAGTTCGCACTGCCTTCCCAAACAGCCCTGCTAAGCAGCGAGGCTGCTCAAAAGTGTCACTGAGATAACATCAAATGGGAACATCCCCGTAAGTTGTACGTCATATATTATTTCTTAAAAACATCATAAAACACTGAAAGCTGAATTCAAAGTCGTTTTTGTTTCGCGTAATTTCGAAGAAATACTGAAGTTCATCTTCTAATGGGCCTTTTCCAAAACTCTTTAAGCGTCGTGACCGCTTAAGGTCCTTAATAACAACTAAAATGCATTTTCTGGACGAGGCGAAGTCATCGATTTAATGCAGCTGAACAAACCAATCTTTCGCTCAATTACTTTTAATTGCTGAGGCTCGTTAACGTTCATGCTAAAATATCTGGGATCGAAATTTGGCGTGTTCCTTATAACCTTTCTAATACGAGAAGAAACCAATTTCCGATGCTAAACCACAGCAGGTTTCAAAATTTTGAATATTTCAACTTGTCATGGCCTCAATCAATTAGAGGGGGCTGTTTGCATACCATAATAGAGGTATTATTTCATGCCTATCCCGCTTGTTTCATAAGAATAGCCCAAAAACCGGTTTTACAGGTTCCGATAATTCTGTGTTGATTGGCCATTGGATTGGTTGTTTATCCATAATTAAGTCCATAGCGCATTTGTTGGCTAACGAAGGTGGGGCGCACTCAAAAATCTAAAAACGAGGCATCTTTTGCCTTCATTGCAGTAAACAACAACAAATTACTGAGAGGTTCATACTCATTTGCAATAACTCTGATTGGCCTTAAGGTGAGTTCGCGTTTACAATTTGATCGCAGAGTTCGGAACGCAGTTCAGGTTTCCTACAGTGGGCCAGTGCTGGTGTGAAAGGAGTGTCATGATGACAATTTCAAAGATACTTCTCCGCCAAATTTGAATTCTGTGGTGGATCGCATGACTAATGATTTTATTCGCCGGCTGCGATTTAAGATCTTTTTCTTTTTTTTTTAATAGTAGCTGACTATATGTCCGGTGCATTGCGCAGACATAGAATGTCCTTAATTCTGTTTCTGCGCCTGTGATACACAATTGTATTAAAAATAATCTGTTGAGTACCCTCTATTTGACACAGTGTGAACCCACCCCCCCCCCCCCGCCCTTTGAAAAAAAATTGAAGTTGTATTTAAGGCTTTACACACGGCAAGTACGCCTCAGAGGGTCCCGAAGGGCCTACATTTAATTTATTGGGTCAAATTATATGAGTCTTAATTTCAACAGAATGGCCTTGATTAAAAGTTTCTTTAAAATATGTTGTAGGACGCATATAATGGCAGAAGAAACCCTATTACAAAAAATTATAAGCGGCATTGTGGCAAAACTCAGCAGATTCGGCATAACCATCAGAAGAGAGGACCTGCGAGTGATTTCCCAACTGACGGCATACTTGCGTAGTACGAACACGGGTGAAGGAGAAAATGTAATCGATAGAGAACGTTTACCAGGAGAAGCAGGAATGGACGAAGACATAGAATCAATCAGTCAAATGATTTCCCTTCTGCATAACGCATTCCTTTCCGGTGAGGCTGAGGGAGCGGAAGTAACGCCTTCAATACAGGAGCCTGGAGAATTAGAGTCAGTTATCCGCCAGTTTCAGTTCTATATCAATATTGCCCAACAAATGAGACGCGAGGTACAGGATGTTCATTTAGTTATCCTCACAGAACTTAAAACGTCTGCGTATGTCACAAATACTCCCATGAATCCATAGCAACAGTATATATTAATTAAAACGGCAGTAGTTTTACACTTGTTGAAAGCCTCGACACTCATTATCCATCCATCAACCGCTATTTAGGGAACTTAAACAGACTATTGTTGAGGACCGCCCAACACATCAAAAGTGCAAGGCCGCTAAATTTCAGCAAGTTTTCAAGGATAAAGGGATGGTGTGCGAAGGCCGATTTCGTCCCCTTATTAAAGGGCGGTCTTCCGAACGTTTTAAGTTTAACCTAGGGAGAAAACCGTGCTGCCTTTCAATTTCTCAAAAACTTGTCCATATTGGTCTAATGTTGTAAGTGTAAGCCCGCGGTAATTACTAACATGCTTAGACCTTTATCTCGCTCTGTCAGTCATCCTCACATATTGTTATACATCCAGCTAATAGACTCATCTTCGTGCAATCTTCATTTTTTATTACTATTCTCGTAGATCCCTGAAACAAGGGTGCAACAGCTTGGATTTTTGTTGGATACGAATACAGAACGAATAAGACAGCAAGCAATGGGATTGAATAAAGCGCTGGAGATGTGGAAATCCTTCATTGATAAGGCAAACGATATCCTTACCCAGATTTCAGCAATCATCAATAGGAGTGATGTGATAGGAAATGAAGACAGAGGGCTGTTAGCTAGGTACGATGACTATAATAATGAACTTCAAGCAATAAAGTGCGAGTACGAGCGAATAAATGCCATATGGGAAGGTATTAGACGAGATCCTTCATTCATTCAGTCGAACTTATGGATGAGGTGCATTTTGATTTAGTATGCCTTACACCTTGCCTGGCTTTTGGAAATGATGAAATATTAGATAAAGTTATTTGACTGTTTTTCTGCTATGTCCTGTTGTTTGCCTTTTATTGGCTTGCATATAATGCTTAATAAAACTACAATGCTTTGTACATTTTTTGTAGCAGGCTTGTTGTTGTTGTATGATATCTTTTTTGACTTCTTGGCTTTTCAGTCCACAAGGGCATTATATTTATCATTCTGAGATGACTGCCTTGTCTTTTCATGCTGTACTAGGGGTTGTTTCTTGCACTTTCCCAAGCTTTCCAAACTTCCATACTCATTCTTTATTTCATCAAAATTAGACATGGAAAAAATAACGTTAATTTCTCTCAAAGCAACTTGAAAAAATCATAGAAATTCTCCCCCATCGCAGCATCTCTATACCTGCAAATATGAACGTAGCTGATTCGATAAATTTCCTGCTACAGCACTGTAACAAAACTACGACAACGCCTGTAATAGCTTTTGTAATATTGAAAATTACATTGTGGCTCTCAAGAGGGAAAAATCTAACAATTATGATCAAAACAGATTTGTGCCAGTAACTTTTATTGATGATTAAATGACCAATTCAGCGAAAACAGTGGAAAAAAAGGATGGCAAATATCCTGAAACAAAAGGAGCAAAGCGGGCTGATTTGACTTCTATTAAGAGGGGATAAACACCAAAGAGGCATCCAACAAAGAAACATAAAGTTGCCACCCCCTCACAGTGCAACGAAATCAAGCGGTAGAGACAGAGATGGCATTTAACAAGCATTTAAACATTAAAAATTCTCTCCTTGTTTGTCCTAAATGATTGGCTATTAGGACTCCCGATTCGTGGTGGTACGATTTTGTTAATTACTCGTATGATTACAGAGCGAATTGGACTCCACTTGTTCCTATCATCATTGCAACTACCATGTTTACATTTTCGCACAACTTGTAAGTGGTTGTCATCAAATGTCCCCAACAAAACCTTAAGAATTGATTGTAGCACAAACTCCATTCAGTAAGCAATGACAAAGACGGTCTTTCAATTTAACGTGTTTATTCGTATTAATTTTATATTTCTCTTTGATGAGGAAATTTACCCTCGATTCATAAATTGCAGAAGAATAAGTGTTATCATCCAATTTCTTCCATTTCCTGAGCAGATAAATTTAGAGATACAGTATATTAAACAAGTATGTGGGTAAGATTCATGAATGCAGATTCACTTCTATAAATCTTAATTAAGCACTAGACCTTGTTTTATCAGGGATCAGCCGTAGATTTGAGACCAAAGCCTCACAATAACAGTGCAATAATGTACAGACAAAGGAGTAAACCAGTTTTGGTCTTTTTTTATGTTTCCTTCATTTCGACAATTACAAACCTTTCTAATGATTACAAAGAGGAGATAAGCTAGAGAGGGGCAAATTATAGTTAGCTAATTAGATGCCCTTTAGTTTAAATTCATTTTTTCCATTCATCAACCCTTTACACTCTAAGATCAGTATTAATATTCTCAACACTCTCCTCGAAACATTTGGTACTGACCGGGAGGATTTGTTTTGCAATAAAAGTTTTTTGGGTTTGCAATCGTTTCCCTTATTTTCATGGATTTAATGAATGATTCAGCAATATTACTGTAAGGAGAAACAAGTTGCTGGTCATGCACTCTTACGGTTTAAAGGTTACAACAAAGCAAGACAAATTTTAGAGAGGAAAAGAGAAATCACATCAGATAAATGGATAACTCAAGATCAATGTACGACAGTAATTAATACTTAGAAAAGTAATACACGAAAAGCACTCCATCAGTAGGTTTTTCATAAGATTCTTCCTTATTGTTACAGGAATATCATTCCAATTGTAGCATCAACAATTGTTGGACAGAATCTCCTCATATTTTTTCTGAAAACTTTGTATTGTAGCTTAAACAACTGAGACAATGGGTCTTCGTAATTATTACCCCACAATACAGAGCCATATGTTGGAGCTAAATAGTGCATGCATCGAGATCTTAAGCCAGATAAATTAAAAACTAATCGTAGAAAAAAATCAGAATTCGAAAGAAAGATTGATTTTTTGATTTATCCAAATGAAACATGTTGACTCTTCGAGAAACTGTTGTTTTTTCTGAAAACAATATTATACCTTTTGTATGCCTCGAAAGTGCAAGTAAGCCAAAATAAAACTTAATGCTGTTGACCGCTGATGCTAACCAGCCAAAGAGGAATGTGGAGAACATCACGGTGATGTTTCTTCTCCACATTCCTTTTCGGCCCAACTGGCGACTTTGAAGAGACTAGTTTACCGTGGAGACACCCCCTCCCTCTAGGCCGGAACTTACACTTCCCGACAAAGACATTAGAGTGGTTTAGCAAGAGGACGGGAACGTCATTTCAGAACGGCGCGCGCAGCAAAACACCAGAACACCTTCGCGTTGTGTTGAAAAGTGATTTAGCAGTCGTTGCAACGAGAATCCTCACCTCGGCTTTTTTGAAGATCACTATCACCTTTTATAGACCACTCTAAGGACAACGAAATTATCTTCTTTGAGAGTTATAACAAGAGCAAACAGAGGATAGTTATAGATACAGCAAGTAAGTTGTTAATATGAATCCAAATAGGCGATTAAACTTTGAAACTATTCCATTCCAGTTTAGTCTCGAGTCTGCTGATTCGTCTATCAAAGTTTGAAGCCCACTAAATAATTTTTTTTCTATGATTTGTGTCGCTGTCATTTCGTTTCGTGCTAGTAGATTTCAGCACTACTCGTTTTTCTTAATAATTTTGTAAAAGGATAATTGGAAATCGTCGTCGTTTTTCCCCTTGTTTACTGAATATTCTTCTCAATTATGACAGTACATCTCTTTTGAGCACTGAATATTCTTCTCAATTATGACAGTACATCTCTTTTGAGCACCACCTTCTTAGAGTTGAAATGCATTTTGAACGGAATTATCAGGAGTTATGGCGAAACCATGTAGAAACCAAGCGACCCAACGATGGAGTTGTTTACGATGAGTTCCTATTTATCCGTGAAATAATGAAATTAACTCAAACCAGTCACCAAACTAGTCACCAACGTTAGACTTAGGAATAAGACTTCGTTCCTGTTTTTTTTTTTTCCTTTTTGTTTAATTTAATTTTTTTTAAACGAATGAATTCGTTCAAGACTGAATCAAGTTAATAGATTTACAAACTCGTGCCGAAATCAAGTTGATTGTCAATTTATTTCGAAGCGAGATATGACTTTCTTGTCTTAGTTTTCACCGGCGCTGATAAAAAATTTCAAACATAAAAAAGTGCATAACTGTGAGCTATTCTCAATTTTTTTTCATCTCCAACTTAAATTCGCAGAACAGTTTTCAATCACGGTAAAAACGACAATAACAACAAATAACACTGAATAATGCAGTAGGTAAGCGTCGTGATATTTCATTTTGATAAACTTCAACAAGAAGCAAGTTTAATTTGTTGATGAATTGATTCATGATAAAATTAACAGCGTCCCATTCTGAGAGTTTTCATAGAAAGAAATGTATCAAAGAAACAGCCCTTTCGCTGTTTTAAGCCTTGTTCAATTACAATTGTACTGAGCCCTAAAATCTTAGATCCGGCGCTTGCCAACGATTGTGTTTCCTTTCGGGAATTCGGCATAAATGAAGCGGTAAATTTTCCCAAAATACACCGAATAGACCAAAGGAGGGGAACAGGTTATCCTGGAAATGGGTTCTGAAATAATTTCAAACAGCATTATCTCGTTTATAAGCGCAAAATTTATGCAAATCCCAGGCGTTTTGATCACGACGGGAAAACCAGCGTAATGACGTCCCGAACTTAGAAATTTCTAAAAATTCTATAACGAAATAGAGTCGTGTCCAGACCATCCGCGCGCTTTCCCGTTCTGAAATGACGTTCCCGTCCTCTTGCTAAATCACTCTTTTTCCCACCTAAACTCGGATATATTTTTTTAAAGTTTCTCCCACCTCGAACGGGTTTCGCCAAAGCATAATCAACAAACAGGCTGAAGAAAAGAGTGTATCTATGATGACTGTTGATCTATGATGACCCGCTGACAAGTTGTGAGATCATTGTTTCTCGGTCCCAGACCTGGTTGTTCTTTATGAAACCTAAAGCTTTAAACATCGCAAATAAAAGGAAGGCAAAAAGCCAACAGTTCCTTTGTTTAACTCAAGCGAATTCAACTTTTATTTCGAGGAGGCTTATTTCACAAATGGGTTCAGTTTTAAATCAACTGGTTATCAAAGCAAGTACTTTTTCCAGCGGGAAGTAAATGAACAATACCCGTAGAACCTATTTTTGCTTTCTGTACTGATGGATTACTGAGTGCCAATTCATTCATTTACTTACAAAACAAATCTTAGCGTTATGCGTTCACAATGACGGAAATCTTGCGATTATTACCATTCAAAAACGTTTTAAAACTACTAATGAGCGTTGGCTCCTATTGTAACTCGCAGTTCTTGTCGTATGGCTAGACTTAACTCCGCAAACTTTATTCCCTTGTGGTTAACGGACAATTTTATGGGAAATACTTTGTTATGTGATTGTCCCTTTTATCTTTTATTTTTTTGAACGGACAATTCCTTTCGCTCGAGAATATGGTGGCTCCTCTTTATGGACCTGTCTCAGAGAAAAAGACCACGCTTAGATATGTCCTGTTGTCTGAGGGAAGCTTAAGATCGACCGTCAACGCTATGGACAATCAAAAAATAGAGCGTTGACCTTTACAACTAAACCAAACTGTGGAGGCTTCTGTCGGAAAGGTAATCATTGATAGATGTTACAATTTTGATTTGTTGCATTTAGGCCCCCGCGATTATAGTTTACCAATTTGAAATGAGAGTTGAATGGATTAAAACTGATTATTGAAATTGCTTCTGTTAAGAAGTTCTCTCTCTCTGGCATTTGAAAGATGAAAGTGATTAGTGACTCTAGTTACATCATTCAGCCAAGAAGATCGAACCCCTTGATAAATTCTATGAATTAACGACATAACTTTTAAATATAAAACTTTTGCCATGAATTGTGATTACCTTGCAGAGATGGATTCTGTTACCGCTTAGCACTGAATGTGAGTTTTGGTGCCTGCTTCTAATACCTCGTTCGGACAA